CTAGTCTTGGCTTCTTAACTAACAGTATAGAAAGTCAAACTCAACAATGATACTTTATCGTTCTACCAATTTGTATAATGTTAAATGGAAGAGATATGGATTAATAAAGGGTCCAGGAGTCCATTATACAAACTGAATTCTAGGGCAGTTTTGTCCGTATATGCATAAAATTTTATCTCTTGGGTTTAAAAGTATTGGAGAGATCACAAACAGAAACCACCTGGACAAAGACTTTCAAATGATAAGTGTGTGTGTGTGTATACATACACACTTACATATAAATATATATCTATACACGTATACATATATATACATATATATTTATAGGCATTTATAAACACACTCCATCCATCATGTGTACACACATACATAAAATGTACACATATGTATGTATATATAAACAACCAGACCATTCACTAAATAATCAATTCCGTTTAGAGAACAAGGATATATAATACAATTATATACAACAAAGTACACACATCTCAGCATTGGCCCTAGGGCAGTGGTTCTCAAACATTTTTCCATTTTGACACATACAGTAGATGCTATAGTCACATGCATAAAACATTTCTACAGGTATAGTAGGTTTTAATAAAACTTATAGGGAAATAAAAGACTTGGAAACATTGTACTCACCACCATGAAATGAAGGATGTTCAAAAGCAAGACTCACTCACTACTGCAGCAGCTTAGATGCACTGAACTGCTGATATCCAGCTCTGACTTTATTGCCACCTCCTCCTCAACTGCAGAAAATACAACAGTCCCTGGGGCTGCCATTATGGGGAAGACAACGACTCAACTACACTTTACCTAAAAGACAAAGTATTCATTCACTTTGATTTCTTTTTTAATTAACCAACATTAAATTGCTGGCAATACACTTTACAACTGATTGTAAAGCACTGGTATGTGTCTCTTAGCTGAGAACCAAAATGGGTAAACTATGGTTGATGGTCCAAATCCAGCCCACTGCCTGTTTTCATATAACCTCCAAGCTAATACTGATGTTTACACTTTTGAATGGTTAAATAAAAAGCAAAAGAATAATGTTTTGTGACATGTGAAAATTACACGGAATTCAAATTTTAGTGTCAATATTTATTGGAACACAGCCATGCCCATTCATTTACATACTGTCTACAGCAGGATTGATTAGCTGAGACAGAGACCACAAAGCCTAAAATATTTACCATCTGGCCTTTGCAGAAAAAGTTGGCCAACCCCTAGCCTACAAGCAAGAATGGCACACAATCTCAGTAGGAGGATCTCTTAAACACAAAATCCTGAACATGATCAGTAAACTTAATGGCAGAGATAGCAGTAAATACTACCTGGGATGGATAGCCATCCCTGAGTTGTTCAAATGTTCCGATTTCCTCAATGACAAAAACCAACTTCAGATACTTACATATGACTCCTGCATTTTATCTAAAACCATATTTATAAATTCAACTCGTGACTGACTATAGCAGGGCAATTAGGGGCACTGGGTTGCAAGTTAGAAGACCTGGGTTTTACGGAACTGAGACAAATACGTTCTTCTAGTCCCGTTGAATCTGCATGTTATTTTTAAAAATCTAATAAAAGAACTAAAATGCCTGGTAAATTAAAGAATCAAAATATTTTTAAGTAGAACAGAAAGTTAATGAAAACGAAAATTTACTCCTTCCCCAAATACAAATACAAGAAGTTCTCCTACCTATGGTCCATCACTAAAGGAGGTTGCTAATTTGAGTGTGGATAGTGAGTTTCCTTCTAGTCAGTTTTGATGAATATGCCTTAGGGATGTATGTAAAGGAAAAATCTTACCACCTCCTCAGTTACCCTTGTGAGAAATCAGTGCATGGAATTAAATGGTCTTTAAAGTCTCTGCCAGTATTTTGTTAACTGATGTCAAATGATCAGCCTCAGTTTCTTCATCTGTGAAACTGCATTAATAACAGAATCTTCTTCCTATGGCTGTGTGAGGGCTAAATTAGTTAGCCCATGCAAAATGCTTACAACAGCACTGTCAACACTTCAGCTATTATTATTGTTATTCTATTTAAACGTCAAAAACCAAATAAACACTAGAGGGGCATCTGCTTTAGACAAGCACTGTGCTGGAAGCTGGTGATACAATAACAAAATAGTAGAAGTTGTGTCTCTTAGATGAGGTAAGAATAAACGAAACTGAAGTCTACAGTTTCAACTTCAATGTGTCTGTAATTTAATGGTTTTCTGAGATGATGGTGAAATGCTGTTTCACATCCTTGATCAGTGAATTCTTTTTTCTCAACAATAATTATTGTTGAAAATGTCAACTAATGTTTAGTACAGAGCAAAACAGCATTGTTACTGATGATCTTCCTACTTAGGTTTCAAAAGGGAAAGTTCAGTGTTTGGGTGTTTTTTTGTTTGTTTGTTTACGATGAGTGTTATGATGACAAAGCCCAAGGCATACTAGGCAAGCACGTGGTTGGGACCCTAAAACCACAAAGACCAAGGGATTGGAGGACGCTGTGAACTGAAAGGTGAGTAATCAAAAGACCTCTTTAAAGTGTTGAAGAACAAAGAGATATCTCTTTGAAGACTAAGGTGCGCCTAACCCAAGTCATGGTATTTTCAATCACCTCATATGCATGTGAAAGCTGGACAATGAATAAGGAAGACCAAAGAAGAACTGATGCTTTTGAGTTGTGGTGTTGGTGAAGAATACTGAAAGTACTATGGACTGCCAGAAGAACAAACAAATCTGTCCTGGAAGAAGTGCAGCCAGAATGCTCCTTGGAAGCGAGAATGGTCAGACTTTATCTCACTTACTTTGGTCATGTTGTCAGAAGGGACCAGTCACTGGAGAAGGATAACATGCTTGGTAAAGTGGAAGGTCAACGAAAAAGGGTAAGGCCCTCAATGAGATGGACTGACAGACACAGCGGCTGCAACAATGGGCTCGGGTCAGTATACTTAATGTGAGGCTGGCACAGGACTGGGCAGTGTTTCGTTCTACTGTACAAAGGGTTGCTATGAGTTGGGGCTGACTCGGAGGCACCTAACAACAACAACAAAGAGTTCTTCATGCAGAGGAGGTGGAGAATGTCTGGGCAAAAGGAAGTCCCGTGAAAGGCGAGAGAGCACATCTCAACTGAGAGCAGAGTCTAACTGGGACAGCAAGTGAGCAGAAGTGGCGAGGCATGATATTGGAGGTGATCAATAGCGTTTGCCCCTTACCTTAATGACAAGAAGTCATTGAAAGTTCTAAGCATGAATATGCCAAGATGACTAATAATCAAAGTGGAAACAATTAGTGGAAATAGTTAACTTGTTGAATTGAAATGTAAGCAGAGGGAAATCCATCCATTCATTCTTTCTCTGTCTACTAGAGACTAGCTGCAAGTCCCTCCTTAGTTTCAACCTATTTATAGCTGAAATATTACATACTGAGAGAGTGAAATATAAAAATATTTACTTTCTGACATACCAAATGAGTGCCTGCATATTCCACATCCTCACTACTGAACAAATGCTATATATAGCTTAGAAAGGGACACCCAGGCCATCCACAGACAAGACTGGCTTAGCTGAGAGGTGGTGGTAGGGAGCCGGAGCCACAGACATGAGCCAGAGGACATGAATGTGAATCCTACCCGGTTCCATCACTCGCGTGGTGCCATTTAATGTTTCTGCATCTGCAGTGAGGATTCTTTCTCCTATGTTCTGGTGAAGTGCTTGGAAAGCTGGGTATCATCACAGAAATCAATGTCTTCCTTATTTTAACAAGTTCCAGAAAAATGGGAAGGCTCTTCCTCTAGGCAGATTCTCAGCCTGATGTGAATCCTGAAGGTGGCATCAGAAACCAGAATCTCTGGTGTTACTGAACCTCTAAAACCAAAAAGCCGGAGCCACCTTTAAAACAATAGGGGTGGGAGTGGAAGGGGTGGGTGGGAGACAGGCAAGCCAAAGGACTCTGGGAAATGTCAAAGCACAGCTACACCCACAGACTCCTTCCCCTTAAATGGGCTGTCAGCAGAGACATTTGGAATAAAGGAACATTTGGGTTCCTTTGATAGAAGGAAATGCATTAAGAAAGTCAAGGCATTATTATAAATTATGTTGGCAGTCTAATTTTCAAGTCTGAACATTTTGAATGAATATTCTAGGTGAATTCATTTTATCAGTCACCTTCCTATTTTCTAATTAAACAAAACAAAACTCATCTTACAAAAGTTTCTACTCTTAACTCTCCACAATCTCCAAAAATGTTACTATTAAACTACCTTCAATTTTTATTAAGATGATTTGTCTTCTATAATACATATTTAATCAAACTTAATGTACTATGACTTTGACAAGAGATTTAACTCTAACTACAGATGAAACTTTTGTTTATAAAATACAGTGGTGGGAAAGTGCAAATTCTAACTGCTGATAAGTCCCATATTTTTTTTTAATTAACACAATTTTACAACTTCAGGAACACACATAAGTTCATTTCTATTCTAAACATCAGTAAAAATGTTTTCTCATATTTAAGAACTGAGAAGAAATTTCAGCTAAGTATGAACCATTTTCATAGCATTGTGATCCTCCCATTTTCATCCGTGGTGCAAACATCCGAAAGTCTTATGCTTTACAGAAATTTGAAAGTTCTTCTACTTAAAAGGATGTCTGTGAAATAGTGACATCCACTGATGTGGTCCCCAGTGATACTCAGGGTTACTCTCTTATGAGGCAGTAGGAAGAGTCCAGGCGGTCAGAGAATGGTTTTCATGCTTAGTTCTTTCTGTACCTTGCTACGTGCTATCTGACCAAGAAGCCAAGGCATGTGGGTCAGAAAAAGGCAGCCTTCCTGGGGCTCAAGTCCCATGCGGTATAACAGCATCATGAATAAGTTTCCTCAAGCCCCTCAGAGATGTTGCGATGCTCAATAGGAAAGCATAATTGAAAATGCCATGAAAAGTTGTAAGCACTTTCCAGAAGCATGGGGTCATTTTTAAACAATTCTTTTTGACTAGAAAAGAAGCTTGCTTTCTTCCAAAAAAACATGAAATCGTATTCAGTTTTGTTGTTTTTCCAAAAACCAAAAATCACAGACGCCAGAACTCTATTGAATTTTCTTTAAAAATAGTTTTCTCCTAAAGACTGCTCATCAGTTGGCTTTGCAGTTGTGGTTAAGGGGTTCCCATGAGTAAGTAGAAGGTCAGGGCAACAATAAGAAGCAAACAAAACGGAGAGGAGAAGGTCTGATAGGCAGCTGATGGCATGAAAATGTCTTCGTACTTGTAAATACTGACAACACGCTCTGAAGCCGGAGGCGAGTCTATATCATGGCGAGTGATAGAGCCTTCAAGAAAGAAGGGGGGGGGAGCAGTTGAAAAGAGCACAGAATTTAAATGACAAAAGCCTTTCACATTGAGTTCATAAGCAGTAACTAAAATAATCTGGAACTCTAGTTTTCATCTGAACCCTCTATAATTGTACATATGATATAATGATGAACAGAAAAATTTGCCAAATTTTTTAAAAAAACTGGTTCTCTTTCATCTGCATTCCTCACATCAGAATAAACCAAAAACCAAACTCACTGCCATGGAGTCAGATCCAACTCTTAGTGATCCCTCCTTGGCTTTCGAGGCAGTATCACTACAGAGGCCCAACCTTCCTTCCTTCCTTCTGGTTAGCAGTCACATGCCTTAGGCACTATGCCACCAGAGCTCCCTTGCATCAGAATAGGGCTATTTATTGATTGTCTACAGCACCTAGTTGCCAAATGGCTACTTAGCCACATTATATGAATGCCCGCTTTTAACACTTCTAATGTATTTTATCTTACTAACACTAAATGGAAAAACCATGTCTTTATTTCAAACAAGAGCTACTATTTTTTCCCTCTCAAATATCTTTCCTCTCTGGAGCATCATCAGCAACTCCTGACTACGCTACAATCCTCCTTACGGAGGGCAACTTTCCTCATTGTCTGTGGACCATAAAGAGGTAGCCTGTGCTGCGTGTCTGTCTGGCACAGCGGGTGGTAGGGAAAGTCAGAGGACTAAGATACCAAATGAGTCTTTGGACTTTCTCGGCCTGGTGAGAAGCAGAAGGAGGGAAAGGCTATATATGTGGAATAACTCACTGCTGTCAAGTCGGATCTGACTCATTGTGACCCCTCCTTGGCTTTTCAAGGTGGTATCACTATGGAAGTAGATTGCCTAACCTTCCTTCTGAGGATTTGAACCACCAGCCTTCTGGTTAGCAGTCAAATGCCTTAGGCACTGTGCCACCAGAGCTCCCATATATGGGACAGGAATACTTAAAAAGCTGGAATTGATTAGAAGTGCCTGACCTCCCTGAAGAACCCATTTGAAACCTCAGTTAGAGAAGCAAAGCACTTGAGTTCAGGACAAAGGTCTCCTTAGAACTGGGTCAGAGAGAAGACTGTTTAGAGTACAGTCAATTCTCATCATTCGTGATTCTGTATTTGCAAATCTGTCTACTTACTAAAATTTCTTTGACACCATAATCAATACTTGCCACGCTTTCACAGTCATATGTGGACATGCACAGAGTAGCAAAGAAACTGAGCTGGCTGACACGCGCAGTGCCACTGAGGTCGAATGTTTCAGCTCTCATGCTGTGAACAAGCGTCCTCACTGCGGTCTCTTTAGTGCCACGGTTTCACATTTTTCTGCTTTTTAGGGGTGATTTTGTTATCTGTAAAGGCCCCCAAGTGTAGTGCTGAAGTGCTGTCTTGTGTTCCTAAGCAGAGAAAATAAGTATGTGACGTAAGCTTGGCTCAGGCCTGAGTTATAGTAGTGTTGCCTGTGAGTTCAATGTCAATGAATCAACATATTTTACATAAGGTATCTTTAAACAGAAACACATTTAAAACAAGATTATGTATTGACTGATTGACAAAAATGTGATCAGAGTTGACAGGAACCTAGGAGTGACACTTACTCACTGTGGTGACTTTATGGAACGTAAGTACTGTGTATAGCAAGAATCAACTGCACTGCCCTCTGTGGAAGCTCTGTCAGACCTGACTTGTTAGATCCCTGCTCCCATCTCCAAGCTGACTCCTGTTACACAGATCGTACTCCTTGGTTAGTACCAGGAATTTTCTCATCAAGTCCCGCCCTCCTCTCCCATCTAACCTCACCTCACTGATCACCTCCATGGCACCTCCTAGGTTTACACATGTCCAGTGCATGCCTTCCTTGAGGGAAATCTAATCCCACACTCGCTACAGCCTTAGCTCAATGTTTATTAAGTGACCTTAAGAAAATGGGACGCATTTGATTAATAAAGAGGCCTTAGCAGGACATTCAAAAAACAGAAAAAGCACAAGCCTATAGTATATGGGACAAGAATGTGCCTCTTTTGCTTGGAGACAGTGAGAAAAACGATAGGAGTCTTAAGAAAGCTTATCAGGCAAAGAAAATCAGATTTTGGGAGGGCTTTGAACATTAGGCCACTATGCCATGTATGTAAGAAGATAATCTTCTAAAAATATAGCACTTTCTCAATTTGTAGAGCAATTTCAAATTCTTGTTTTAATTTCTTACAATAACCCTGTGAAATAGGTATTATTATTATCATTCTCATTTTAGATATGAAAAAACTGAAGTTCAGAATTTAGGCTGAGTATCATATAGCCACCAAGGGGCAGACAGACATTCAAATATAAATTTTTAGACTCCAAATCCCATCATTTTAAATGAGTTCATTTCTCTAAGCTGATATATAATTTATTTCCCAGGATAGTGAAAGTACTTGAGAATACAATTACAAATCCACTATCGGTAATCAGAGAAATCAACAAATGGGAAAGGTGTCACAGATCTGGAGGCACTCAAATGTTTTTCCAATTGACAAGCAAGAAAAAAAAAAGAAAAGGTATCTTATGACATCTCCAGAGTGACAAATTGAAATATTTGAAAGAGTAAACACTGAGATAAAACTGGCTGTTAAGCACACAGTAAACATGCAATCAATCACCAGGAGCCAGGATGAGTTCTAAGTACCAGGACTGCAAACCAAACACTTCCCTTCTTGGTCATTAGACTGATTAGCCAGGCAGAAGAATGAAGACAAAGTATAACTTGATTTTGTCCATCTCTGCAAGGTCTCATGATAGCCTTGGGTCTTTGTTAGGGAAATGATGAAGAGCCTTGCCACCCAAAGTTAGGTGAAGGGACCTATACCGCCTAGGAGCTTGTCAGAAAAGCAGAACCTTGGGCCCTGCCACAGACCTACAGAATCAGAATGTGCATTTTAATAATATCCAGGTGATTTGTATGCACATTAAAATTTGAGAAGTAATGGGCTAGCATAACGGGGATCTGTGACCACTAGACTGGTACTAAAGTGAGCATTGAAGAAATGTTGAGTGTCACTCTCTATAGAAGTCTCCAGAAACCCTTTCCTGGTTAGTGTCTTTATACAGAGCGCAGCGCACAGGGGTTAAGAGCACTCACTGGCTCTCGAGTCAGACAGACTTGGGATGAATCTTAGTGTTTTTGCTAATTACCTGTACAGCCTTAGTGTTCCCACTAATTGGTTGTATAGCCTTGGGTGAGTTTCCTAATCACTCCAAAATGAGAACAATAATATCTACACTTCTCAGGGACAGGGTAAGGAGTAATGAGACAATGGTGAGGGTGCAATAGAGCCCACACCTTACCTAGAGCAGGCATACATCCTGTTTCACTAATCACACAACTCATCACATACTCTCTTGTACTACTCTGGCTATTTGTGTATATAACTCATCTCTATAAATCCCCTATAACCTTCTGAAGCAGGAATCATATCTTCTTTTTCTTTTATATTATCCAGAGGGCTTATCACACTCTCATACACACAGTGTGACTTCAGTAAGTCATGAACATAAGCTCAGAGTTGTCTGTCTGGTGTTTAATGCAGACGCTAAGACACACGCTTACCTTGAATGGCTGGACCCCAAGCAAACAGATAATACCAGCTCAAATGCAAATCAACAATTGTTTCATCTCTAGGAACGTTCACAGGGCGTTTAAATCTGCAGGTAACACGATTGTTCTCAAAAACCCCTTCTTCATCTCTGGCCGGATTTCTCTGGATCTCTTTTGCCCACTGGCCTACATTATAAAAGTGCTGGATGCGGACCCTGCCGTTGTCATCATGGACACAGGCCATAACGTCATCACCACCCTAAAACGAAACATGATTAAGAAGAAAAAGTCAAAGGTCTGTCATTTGCAAACTTTTCTGCTACAAAGAAATCTTACCCTAGAAACTTATATGCCATTAACTTTGTAATTTTAGACTGCCACCCTCAAAATTATTATTTTCCTTTTTAAAAAATTTTATTTTGTTGTTGTTGAGAATACATACAGCAAAGCATACAAGTCAACACTTCATACACGTGTAGTTGAGTGACACTGGTTCCGTTCTTCGAGTTCTTGCCTCCCTTCTCTGAGTCGTTTGTCTCCTAATAATATAAAATCACTGTGCCCTAAATTTCCTGTCTAATCTTTCAAGTTGCTGTTGTAGTTCGATCCCATATTGTTCTCAAAAGAGCATAATACTCAAGGCCCACATTTTTCACTACTTAGGCTAAATTCTATTGGTTTTAAGAAGACTTCAGGGAATATTTTTGGTTTAAGGAATAAAGATGATCTCAGGGCAATAGTCTCAGGGGTTCATCCAGCATCTATGGCCCCAGAAAATTTGAAGTCCATGAGACTTGAGATTCTGTTCTGCATTTTCCCCATTTTGATCAGGATTCTCCTACCAGAAAATTATTTTAAATGCTATTAAAAACCTAAAGCATGATGGGTGAGCCTCGAAAATATTATACTGAGCGAGGTAAGTCAGACACAAAGGGACAGATACTGTATATCTTACACACATGAAATATCTGGAATAGGAAAATGCAGAGACAAAAGTTCATTAGTGGGTGTCACTGGCTGGGGAAGGACAGATTGGGGAGCTCTTACTCAAGGGGTGCTGAATTTCTGTTTCAGGTGATGAAAACTTTTAGAAATGGATAATGGTAATGGTAGAATAACTTGGGCAATGTAATTAATGTCACCCAATGTACACTTAAAAACAGTTAAAATGGCAAATCTTTCATTGTATATATTTTACCATAATAATTTTTTTAAAGAAAGAAAGAATATGGAAACAAACAATAACTTTACCAAGTTAGCAATAACAGGACAAACTGACATCAAATGCTACCTGATGCAATGCTGTGAAAAGAATACACCCCAGCCACACATTATTCTCACCAAAATGTGCAAACTAACCTAATTGTGAGGAAGCAATCAGACAAACTTGAGCAAAGATCATTCCACAAAAAAACTAGCCTGCACTCTTCAAACACTTTTGCTCATAAAAGACAAAATTAAATAAAAGGCTAAGAAACTATTTCAAAAGAAAGAAAACTGAAGATACACAGGAGTCCCTCAGTAGTACAAATGGTTAACTCACTCAGTTGCTAAATGAAAGGCTAGAGGTTGAGTCTACCTAGAGGTTCCTTGGAAGAAAGGCCTGGCAATCTACTTAAAATCAGTCATTAAAACGCCTATGGAGCACGGTTCCAATCTGCTACACAGGGCATCCCCATGAGCGGGAGTCTGCTCCATGACAACTGGTTAAAGACAGAAGACAACTAATACAATAGCATTCCTTGACTGAATCCTGGGTCATGTGATAATGGTACCTAAGGCATTTGACTGCTAACCAGAAGGCTGGTGGTTCAAACCCACCAGTCACTCCTTGGAAGGAAGGTGGGGCAATCTACTCCCATAGTGATACTGCCTTGGAAACCCAAGAAGGGGTCACTGTAAATTGGGATTGACTGCTACTGTTGTTATTATTACTACTAAGGATTATTATTATATTCGGGAACCATCTGAGATTTAATTACAAATATCATGACCCCTTAACCTAAGATTAAGGACATTCTGTTTCATTATATAGTGTGTTTATTAAATTCAGAACATTTACATTTTTACAGGAGTATGCCACCAGAGCTTCCATAGAAGTAGTAGGGAGAGATAAAACAAATGTAGGAAAATGCTATCCTTTGATGAGTTTTGGTTAAGTATAATATATAATTTTATTGTACTAGTCTTACAGCTTGGCTGTAGGTTTAAAAAATTTTCCAAACAAGTTAAAAATCCAAAGGCTATTACAAAACATTTTTTATTTTGCTTTCTTATGCCTTGAGCTACTCTACCACCCAGAGTGAGAATGTGAGAAGAGGAGTTAACAGCCAATCATGAGGGGCATCAGGGTGCCAGTATTGTACCAAACATGGGCCATGTCCTACCAGAGCCCCTGAAAGCCTTTTAAGGTAGAGAGGAAAATTCTGATAAGTATGTTGTTGTTAGGTGCTGTCAGGTCAGCTGACTCATAGCAACCATGCACACAACAGAACGAAACCCTGACTGGTCCTGCGCCGTCCTCACAGTTGTTCCTATGTTTGAATCCGTTGTTGCAGTCACTGTGTCAGTACATCTTACTAAGGATCTTCCTCTTTGTCACTGACCCTCTGTTTCACAAGCATGATGTCCTTCTCCAGGGACTTTTCTGATAACATGTCCAAAGTCCGTGAGAGAAAGTCTTGCCATGCTCACTTCTAAGGAATAGTCTGGCTGTACTTCTTCTAAGACAGATTTGCTCATTCTTTTAGCGTCCATGGTATATTCAATATTCTTCCCCAACACTATAACTCAAACGCATCAATTCTTCCTTGGTTTTCCTTAGTCACTGTCCTGATTCCATATGCATATGAGGTGCTTGAAAAATACCAGGCCTTGGATCAAGACCACCTTAGATCTCATAGTGACATGTTTGGTTTTTAACACTTTCAAGAGGTCTTTTCCAGCAGATTCGCCCAATGCGATATGTTGTCTGAATTCCTGACAGCTGATTTCATGGGCGTTGCCTGTGGATCCAAGTAAAATGAAATCCTTGACAACTGGTAAGTATAAAGAGTGATAATTGGAATCATGAGATTAAGAGGAAGCTTTTCAAATGCTGCCTACAATGCAATTTGGCCAATGGTATTTACGAATTCACCAGAGGTAGTGTGAGAGATTGAATTTTCCAAAGATGCCATATCATTATATCCTAGTCCACATATTCCGCCTACAATGTAACAGTCCTCCAAGAAGTGAGGGCCTATATCTCCTTCCCTTGACCTGGGTGGGCTTGTGGACACAGAAGTGACACTGTGATTTCTGAGGCTGTCATAAAAGGCAATACAGCTTCCAGTCGGTCCTCTTGGAACGTCTGTCATCACACCAATAGGGACGTGGGAAAGCCATGTGTATGTGTTGTGACCACAGCTCCAGTTGAAGTCCCAGTCAGTGGCCAACATCATCTGCTACACGTATGTGTGAGGAAACCTTCAGCCGATTCAGCACCCTACCTTCAGCCCTCCCCAGCTGACATCAAGTGAATAAAAGACAAGCTGTTCCCCTGAGCCTTGCTCAAATTGCAGATTCATGTACAAAGGAAATGTTGTCGTCACTGTTTTAAGCCACCAAGTTTTGGAGGGGTTTGTTACACAGCAATAGCAAAACTTTTTTTCAGGCCTTCAAACCTCTGATTTCATCCCTGAAGTAAAGTTTCTGTAGCTCGTTATTCTTCATTCATTACATGAGCAGCCTAGACCTCTCTAGACCTCTGCCCTGTGTCACAGATATCTAAAGACAACTTGAACTTTGCTGCTGTTAGTTGTAGCCAAGCCAGCTCTGACTCCCGGCAACCCATGTACAACAGAACTAACCACTGCCTGGTCTCCATGATTGTTGGTAAGCTCCAGTCCACTGTTCTCACCACTGTGTATTCTCAGTGCCTTCTAGGGGGCTGTCTTCAGGTGGGATCTCTAGAGAAGCATAACCAGTGAAGCTTACATATACATGTAGAGAGAAGAGGAGAGACATTTCTCTCACAGAAATGGCTCATATGGTTGTGTTGTTGTTGTTGTTGTTGTTGTGTGCCATCGAGTCGGACCCGACTCATAGCGACCCCTCCTTGGGTTTCCGAGGTGGTATCACTACAGAAGTAGATTGTCCAACCTTCCTTCCAAGGAGTGGCTGGTGAGTTTGAACCACCAGCCTTCTGGTTAGCAGTCAAGTGCCTTAGCCACTATGCTACCAGAGCTCCCCATATGGTTGTAGAAGCTGCTAAATGCCAAGGCAATGGGTCAGATGTCAGGTCAGAAGCTTCCCCTGAATCACAAACCTGCAGGGACTGATGAACACAAGGTGTGCAGGACAGCGGACTGCTGTCTGCGGAGGCTGATGAGCCCAAGAGCAGCAGGGAAGACGGCAGGCTGTGGGCTCACAGGCTACAAAGGCGGGAATCCCAAAATCGGCAAGCAACATGGCAGGCTGCCGGTTCAAGTCCAAAGAACAAGAAGTCAGACGACGATGAACCAGATGCAGGATCCATATCGAACAGAAAGCCAGAGCGTTTGGCCAGAACGTCCATATATGTGGGAGGCAGAAACCCCTGAGGAAACTCCCTTTCAACTGACTGGCTGCTCAGAGCAGATCTCATTATGGAAGTGACTGCATCATATCAGCTCTCACTATGGGGAATGACTACATCATAACTGTGACACCACTGACAGTCACAGCCAAGCCAAGTTCACACACAACCTTAGCCATCGCTGGGGCTCATCTTCCAGAACTATTATCAGGTAATACTCTGTTCTTACCCATATAGTTCCATTGGCTAATTTTAGAAGTAGATTGTCAGACCTTCCTTTCTAGTCTTTCTGGAAGTTCTGGTCAAACCTGTTCACCATGGGGGACTCTGCTGGTATTTGAAATACCAGTGGCATAGCTTCCAGGATCTTAGCAACAAGCAAGCCACCGTAGCACCACAGTATCACAAATAGGCGGGAACTCAAACTCAACATGTCTAAAACTTAATTCCTATCGTTTTTCCCCAAACCTTCCTCTCCCATTTTCCCCAGCCTCAGTTAATGGTGACTCTATGTGGCTGAGGTTGAACACTTAGCAGTCACTCTTGCTTCCTCTCTTTCTCTCATAACACATACCAATTGCTACAAAATCCCATCAGCTCTACCTTCAAAACATATCTAAGATCTAGCCACTTCTCATCACTAGTGTGACCCTGATCTAAGCCATCCTCCTCTCTTACCTGTACCACTGCATGAGCCTCCTAACAGACCAGGTAAAGAGAGGGAAAGGTACTCTAGACACAGCAGCATGGTATGCAGAAGTACAGTGGCCTAAGGAAGCCTGGCTGTTTGGGAAGAAGCCCATCATGGTCAAGAGCAAATGATGGGCTCAAGAGGAAGAAAGAATGTAGTGAGATACAGAGAGAAGCAGATGAGAGAGACAGAGAGAAGCTTAGATTCCTAAAGCCTTGCCTGCCCCTGCTCACAGTCCTCTCTGGGATCCAGATGTCTTTGTTGCCCATGGTACCATAGAAGATTAAATTGTTGGTTCTGATTCTTCACTCCTCTGTAGTAGTATTATACACCCATTCCCCTTGAGTCAGTCCTGACTCATGGTGAGCCTGTCTGTGTCAGAGTCAAACTGCTCCATAGGGTTTTCAATGGCTCATTTTTTGGACACAGATTGCCAGGCCTTTCTTTGGAGGCTCTTCTGGGTAGGTTCAAACCACCAACTTTGTGGTTAGCAGCTAAGTATATTAACTATTTGCATTACCCAGAGATTCCTGCTTTATGTTTACACTATACCTACACACGCACACACACACACACACA